TGATCGTTATCAACTTCTTTGTCTGTCCAACTGTCTTTCTCTCTCTTAAGGTTCTATCCTATTGTTTACTCCCTACCCCACCCACCTCCCCTTTTTTCTGCAAATAAACTGATGTTTTCCCAACCACAATCAGTTCTGAGGAAGGATCACTGGTCCTGAAACGTTAACTCTGTTCTTTTCCTTCACAGATGCTGCCAGACCTGCTGAGCTTTTCCAGCAATTTCTGTTTTTGTTTCAAATTTCCAGCATGTGCAGTTTTCTGTTTTAGTTTAGAGGCTACGCTGGAGTTTTACAAAACTTTGGGCCGTAGCTGGAGTATTGTGTGCAGTTCTGATCACTGCATGATAGGAAGGGTGGGATTGCAGGTCACAGAAGAGACTCGGAGAATGTTGGCGAGGGTGGAGCAGTTTAGTTATGAAGAGAGGATGGATTGGCTTAGGCTTTTATTTGGAGCAGAGAAGGCTGAGAGGGTCCCTGATTGAGGTGTATAAGATTATGAGGTGCCTGACCAGGTGGATAGAGAGAAACTGTTCCCATTAGCTGTAAGTAACAACAGGGCATGATTTTCAGGTGAAAAGCAGGAGATTTATGTGGCAATTGAGAAAAATTCTTTTCACCCTGAGAGTAATGGGAATGCGCTTCCTGGCATGGTAGTTGAAGTGGGAAACCTCACAACCTTTTACAAAGTACATGGACGACCAGTTGAAGTGTCATAACATTCAAGCTATGGACCAAGTACTGGAAAATGGGGCTGGTATAGATTTAGAATCATTTTTGTCAGTGCAGACTCGATGGGCCAAAGGATCATTTCTGTACTGTATGATTCTGATTCCCTTCCTTAAAGGACATTAATGAACTAGGTGGATTTTTACAACAATTGACAATGGTTACATTGTTGCCTTTAGGCCAGCTTTTTTTTCTCCTTTTTTTAAATTGAATTCAGATTTCACCATTTGCCATGATAAGATGTGAACTTGTGTCCAAGAGCATTAGCCTGAGTTTTTAAATTACTAATAACATTACCACCCTGCCACAGTCTTCCTTATGTGTGTGTATGTACGAAGTATAATGTTTGTTTATTTAATCCCCATAGCTTGGAGATCATTTTATTCAAGAATAATAAAGGAGTGACATGGCCACAACTCCTCATTGGTGACAGAAGAGGTGAATTCATCACGGATCCTGATCAGGCTTCTCAGATAAATGAGTGTTTGCTCAACCTAGTCTCTGAAGAGTTGGTATGCAAATTTCTTTAAAAGCATTCTGTTGTTCCCATCTGAATGATCAAGTTAATAGAATGAAATGATGAGACACTCTATTTTTGTGAGGAAGAACATTATATCCTCATGGTTTCAAACTAGTGCTATTTGCAACAGTGCTTTGGAAGTAAAATCTCTGCTGTCATTAGTTTTGACTCTTGACATTTGCACATTTCTAGTTTCTTAAATGTTGGCTTTGTGCATGTTTGATTTACTAATGAGCGAAAGTCAAAGGAAAGGGCATGCTGTCTTTTTATGGGTTTAGATCTTGTGGGACAAATGGAGCTATCAGAACCTCATTAGCAGTCTATTAATAATCCCTACATGAATTCGTAGGCTGTGATGAAACTGCTCTCACCTGAAACAAATCAACATCAATTGTTAAATGGAACTTTTTGCTTTATTTACTCGGGCCAATATTTGAATCCACAGCCAACGCTACACAAAAAAAAATGTAAATGCACAGTTCCAATGAAGGCTGCTTTGTTTGTTTTTATTGTTGGCATAAAACATGATCAGTGAAAAGTAATTCTTTCCTATGAAAGAATTTCTGTCTATCGGCTGCTGTAATGTATAATGGCCTTGTGAGAGCAGGAATAATTGATTGAGGTATGAAAGGTTGAGGTTTTACTTTGCAGCGATACTCCATAGTAACAGGGCAAATCCAACCTCAATCCAAAGTTTGTGTCCTGACATTGCTCGTGAGTGCCTGTCAAAAGGACAGAGGTCATAGTAGCAGGAGTAGGTCATTCAACTCCCTTAAGCTTGCTCCACTGTCCAACTAGGCCATGTTTGATCTTCAATGCCACTCCCTATATTATCCCAACAACCCTTCGTATATTTATGTCAAAATATGTTTATCAGTCTAGCGTATATTCAGTGACTGGGCTTCCATAATCTAATTAGGTAGAGAATTCCAAAATTGCACCATCCTTTAAGAGAAGGAATTCTGTCTCATCCTAGTTAAAATGGCCAATTCTTTTATTCTGAAATTGCATCCCCTCATTCTAGACCACTTCCCACCCAGCCAGCCAGGGGAAATATCCTTCCTTAATTGACTCCATTGAACCCTATAAGAATCTTATATACTTCAAAAATATCACCTCATATTCTTCTAAATTCTAGACCATATAGGCCCCTTCTCAAGATCTCTGCCTCTGAAGGATCAGGCTGATGAACCTTTGATGCACTCCTTCAATGACAAGCATATCCTTCCTTTAGATAAGGAGACCAAAACCAAACACAACACTCCAGGTTGGGTCTCACCAAGACTCTATATACAATTGCAGCAGAAATTCTTTACTCCAATATCCAAATACCTTTTGTCCTTTAGGGATAGTAGGAACTGCAGATGCTGGAGAATCTGAGATAGCAAGGTGCAGAGCTGGATGAACTCTGCAGGCCAAGCAGCATCAGTGGAGCAGGAAGGCTGACGTTTCAGGCCTAGACCCTTCTTCAGATATTTCGTCAGCCTTCCTGCTCCTCTGATGCTGCTTGGCCTGCTGTGTTCATCCAGCTCTACACCTTGTTATCTCTACCTTTGTCCCTTATTCATCTCCTCATTAATTAACATGCATTCAAGTTGAAAACCATTTGCTAGCAAACAGTCTTCATCAGTAACTTAAGTAACACATAGCATTTGACTGCATGAAAAATAGCTACCTTTTTCTGATTGCTCCATGGTAACTGTGTGTTTAGCAGGAGCTAATAAAGCGCAGGAATAAACATATAGCCTGACCAGTGCAGTTCCACAAAATTCTGGTTTGCTTCTACTGTTCCTCAGCCTGTGACGCAATTCAAGGGTAGCCTAAGCCTGAGACAGGGTGTTATCAAAAACAGTTTGCATAATTAATCTTATTTTAACTATCAATAAGTAAAAGTTCTTAGTGGGATTCTTCCTAAAGATTGTTTCCAACTACAACAGCACCTAGAAACCTAAAAATGTCAAAGAGTAGTAACCCCACAATTCAAAAAGGGAAGTTATGCGTCACCAAGCTGTTTGAATTCCTTAGAGTAACAGTGAGTTTTTTTTTCTTTATTCATTCATGGGATGAGGGCATCGCTGGCTAGGCAGTATTTATTGCCCATCCCTAATTGCCCAGAGGGCAGTGAAGAGTCAACCACATTGCCGTGGGTCTGGAGTCACATGTAGTCCAGACGGGGTAAAGATGGCAGTTTCCTTCCCTAAAGGACATTAATGAACCAGATGGGCTTTTCTGATGATTGACAACGGATTCACAGTCATCATTAGATTCTTGATTCCAGATATTTATTGAATTCAAATTCCACCATGTGCCGTGGCGGGATTCAAACCCGGGTCCCCACAACATTATCCGGGTCTCTGGATTAACAGTCCAGCGATAATACCACTAGGCCATCGCCTCATAAAGTAGGCGTGATGTACTTGGGTTTTTCAAAAGGCCTTTAATCATGTAAGGGCAAAGTAAGCACATGACTAAGGTCAAAGTAGTCTGGGATAAGTAGCAGAATGGGCAGCAGGCTGGCCAGAAAACAGAATAAGGTTTAAAGCTAATTGCTGAGACAGATAGAAGTGACAAGTGTGAAATAATGTTCTACATGGATCAGTGCTGGGGCCACTGTTGCTCACTATATAAATGATTTAGACTCGAAAGGACAATTTCAAAATGTTCCCATCCTGTATTCTTCTTTGTTACTTAATTTAATTCACTTCTTATTAACCTGTAAAATAATGAGTCATAGAGATGTATAACATGGAAAATGATCCTTCGGTCCAACTCATCCATACTGACCTGATATCCTAAGTAATCTAGTCCCATTGCCAGCAATTGGCCCATATCCCTCTAAACCCTTTCTATTCATATACCCATCTGGATGCCTTTTAAATGATGTAATTGTACCATCCTTCGCTGCCTTCTCTGGCAGCTCATGCCATACATGCACCACCCTCTGTGTGAAAAAGTTGCCCCTTAGGTCTCTCTCAAAGTTTTCCCCTCTCACCTTAAACTTATGCCTTCTAGTTTTTGACTCCCATACCCAAGGGAAAAGACCTTGACTATTCACCCTATCCATGCCACTGTATGGTTTTGTAAACTTACCTCGTGCAGCAGCGGCCTTCTTGTTTGGAGCAGTGAGAGCGCGAGCCAGAGTGCCGACAGGAAGGTAAGGTTTTTTTTCCCCCGATAAAAACTTACCTTGTGCAGCAGCGGCCTTCTTGCTTTCAGCAGCGGGAGTGATGAGGACGCGAGCCAGGAAGGAACTAATATATTCGGGCATTGGCCAAACCCGAAACACTACACGTGTAGTGTCTCCCACCCATCCTCCTCCTCTAACCAAAAAAAAAAAGACTGTGTAGAGGTTCGGTAAGGTAAGGCTTTATTTTTTTTTTGTTCTTCTGGAAATCTAGAGTAGAGGGAATGGAAGCTAGGGCAGTTGCATGCTCCTCTTGCAGGATGTGGGAGGTAAGGGTCACTGCTGGTGTCCCCTCTGACTTCACCTGCGAGAAGTGCACCCAACTCCAGCTCCTCAAAAACCGTGTTAGGGAACAGGAGCTGGAGCTGGATGAACTCCGGATCATTCGGGATGCTGAGGGGGTGATAGAGAAGAGTTACAGGGAGGTGGTCACACCCAAGGTACAGGAAAAAAGTAGCTGGGTGACCGTCAGGAAGGGGAAAGGGAATAGGCAGACAGTGCAGGGATCCCCTGTGGCCGTTCCCCTCAATAATAAGTATAATGTTTTGGATACTGTTGGGGTAGATGACCTACCAGGGGAAGGCCGTAGCGGACAGGTCTCTGGCACTGAGCCTGACCCTGTGGCACAGAAGGGAAGTGGGGAGGATAGGAGAGCAATTGTAGTGGGGGATTCAATAGTAAGAGGCACAGACAGGCGGTTCTGTGGATGCGAACGAGATGAACGGATGGTATGTTGCCTCCTGCGTGCCAGAGTCCATGATGTCTCGGATCGTGTCTTCAGGATCCTTAAGGGGGAGAGTGAGCAGCCAGCAGTCGTGGTACACATCGGTACCAATGACATAGGTAGAAAAAGGACAGAGAATGTGAAAAACGAGTACAGGGAGTTAGGTTGGAAGCTGAAGTCCAGGGCAAATGGGGTAGTTATCTCTGGATTACTACCAGTGCCATGTAATAACGAGGTAAGAAATAAGGAGAGAGTGCAGCTAAACACATGGCTACAGGGCTGGTGTAGGAGGAGGGCTTCCATTATGTGGATAATTGGAGCACATTCTGGGAAAGGTGGGACCTGTACAGTAAGGACGGGTTGCACCTGAACCGGAAGGGCACAAATATCCTGGGAGGGAGGTTTGCTCGAGCTGTACGGGATGGTTTAAACTAGATTGGCAGGGGGTGAGGAACCAGATTTGTAATTCAGAGGATGAGGTATTCAGCCTTCCAACAGACACAACAGGGAGTGAGATAACAAGGTGTAGAGCTGGATGAACATAACAGGCCAAGCAGCATCATTCCTACTATCTCTGAAACAATTTTAATCCCAACAGGGAGTGAGGTTGTTAATAAAGAAATACGGTCAATGGAGCGTAATTGTGGACACAGGGATGGTTTGAGGTGTGTATACTTCAATGCTAGAAGTATCAGAAATAAGGCGGATGCACTTAGAGCATGGGTCAGTATTTGGAACTACAATGTTGTGGCCATTACAGAAACTTGGGTAATTCAGGGACAGGAATGGTTGTTGGAAGTTTGGGGATTTAGATGCTTTAAAAGAAATAGGGAGGGTGGTAAAAGAGGCAGGGCAGTGGCATTGCTAGTCAGGGCTAGTATAGCAGCTACTGAAAGGCAGTTCGAGAATGATATGTCTACAGAGTTAGTTTGGGTTGAGGTCAGGAACAAGAAAGGAGCAGTCACTTTGTTGGGGTTTTTTTACAGACCCCCTAATAGTTGCAGAGAAGTGGAGGAGTGGATTGGGAGGCAGATACTGGAAAGGTGCAGAAGTCACAGGGTCGTAGTCATGGGTGACTTCAACTTTCCAAATATTGATTCTAAACTTTTTAGTTGCAATAGTTTCGATGGAGCAGATTTTGTCCAGTGCGTTCAGGAAGGATTCCTGACACGGTACGTAGATGTACCAACACGAGGAGAGGTGACTTTGGATTTGGTGCTTGGCAATGAACTGGGCCAAGTGTTAGACCTGTTGGTAGGAGAGCATTTTGGCGGTAGCGATCATAACTCTGTTTCTTTTACAATAGTCATGGAAAAGGGATAGGTACATACAGCATGGTAAGGTTTATAATTGGGGGAAGGGTAATTACAATTCTGTTAGGCAAGAACTGGGTAACACAAAATGGGAACAGGTGCTGTCAGGGAAGAGCACTATAGAAATGTGGAGATTGTTTAAGGAATGCATACTGCGTGTGCTCGATATGTTTGTCCCTAGCAGGCAGGGAAGATGTGGTCGAGCGAGGGAGCCTTGGTTCTCGAGAGGTCGAACGACTGGTTAAGAGGAAGAAGGATGCTTATGTAAGGTTTAGGAAACAAGGAACGGAAAAGGCTCTAGAGGGATACAAGTTATCCAGGAAGGAGCTGAAGAAAGCGCTCAGGAGAGCTATAAGGGGGCATGAGAAAACCTTGGCAGATAGGATCAAGGAAAACTCCAAGGCTTTTTAAACGTACGTGAGGAATAAGAGAATGACCATAGAAGGGGTAGGGCCGATCAAGGATTGTAAAGGAAATTTGTGCGCGGAGCGTAAAGAGATGGGAGAGGTCCTTAATGAATACTTTTCTTCGGTATTCACAACTGAGAGGGACCTAGTTGTAGAGGACAGTGTGAAACAGGCAGGTAGGCTAGAGGAAGTGGATGTTAGTAAGGAATATGTACTAGGAATTTTGAGGAACTTGAAGATAGATAAGTCCCCGGGCCTGATGGGATTTATCCAAGGATTCTATAGGAAGCGAGGGAAGAGATCGCAGGGCCTTTGGCGATCATCTTTTTGTCCTCCCTGTCCATGGGTGTAGTGCCGGAACATAGAACATAGAACAT